AACGTTTGAGAAAGTCTTTAAACGAGGGAAATATCGGGGTGCTGTCTGGCCAAACTGCAGTAGCCCAGTCTAATGCTTTCCCTGTGAGCAATGAGGACACAAAAGCAATTTTCCATTCTCATCCTTCAACAGATGGGGCTGTTGGGCGATAAACAGTTTACATTGCAAGAGAAAGCCTTTACATTTTGCTTGGTTACCTGAGAATTTGTCAGGAAATGCCAATCGAGCTCCGGAGACCATCGGGGGTTGTGTCACAACAGGTGGGCTCCGAGAGTAGTTGGCGGTGAGTTGCGCTGTGGGAGCAGCTTGCAGGTTTTGCAGTGATTTTCACAAGTTCGTCTGTCAACTGAGATAAGTGCGTTAGTTGCTGTTGATGAGTGGTCAATACCTGGGCTTGAGCTGTGACTTCGTGAGACAAAACCTGTATGGCTGCGGGATCCATGTTGGGCGAAGTCTTCTGTAACGGGGAGACTGACACGGAGGGATCCATTTGCAGTATTTATTAAGTCACACTTAATCAACATACAACACGCACGACTGTGCGAACAAACAACATACACATCAATGAGAATGGGCTGGAGATGACAGACACAGAGTGATTACCAGGCATGGGTCAGAGGCAGGCAGCGTGATTCAGAGTCCGTGTAACAGGCTTTGGTCAAGGGCAGGCAGCGAGTATCAGAGTCCGTGTAACAGGCTTTGGTCGTGGGCAGGCAGAAGACAGAGCAGAGTCAGGAAACGGGCTGAAGTAGTAAACGGGAGATCAGGCAGGATAGAACGCTCAGAAATGCTGGCCGGGGCTAAACAAGACTTCGCACAGAAGAGAGAGTGTGAGCTGCTTATAAAGGGTACGTGGGTCATTAGCGGAATGGATATCAGGTGTGCTGGAATCAGAGTGGAGGGATGACGTAATGTTAGAAGTCCGGAGATGGTGGCCTCTGCTGGCCAGCGAGGGGAATGACTGGGACCGAGTCGGTGACACTAACCAACAAATGATCAAAGAAAATGTATTAATGTAATACAATATGAACTGATTTTTACTTTAAACTGTAAATATTTATTATGTATTATTTATTAATCATTCATACAGTTCAATGAACGCAACCTGTGGTAGATTATTAAAGACACAAACCCCTCACTGCATGACAGCTGCACCTGTAGCAAACCTCTTAAGTCCTGCAGCGCGATGACTTTATGATTGTTTATGAGCGTCAAAAGTGGCGGATCTGTTCGGCAAAATAATTAACTGCGTGTCACCGCATCCCAAATGATTTACGTGAAGTTTATTTATAAACTAATTTCCAGAGGATCACGTGATTTTGATTGAACACGGCTGGTTCTGCATTAGCATGTATGATCCACCAATCACGGCATTCCTAACCCTGTTAAAGAGCCAGGGTTTCCCACTACAGTCATCTTCAATTTGAAGAATCCCCCCTTCCACCCTTACCTCTCCAGCTTTCCCTTCAAAGGGTGGCACGGTGGCCCAATAGTTAGCACTGTAGCCTCACAGCCAGAGCGTCACCGGTTCTAGTCCTTTAACAGGCCAGCTGTCATTTCTGTGCATAGTTTGCATGTTTTTTCCGTGCTCGCGTGGGTTTTCCCCAGGTTCTCCGGTTTCCTCCCACATTCCAAAAACATGTACTACAAGTGAATTGATCAATCTAAATTTAGCACTACAGTCAAACTCTCATCCAGCAGCACAAATTCTGTGAGTAAGCCCTCAAACAGGAGGAGTGAAATGTTACAATTCAGCCCACAGTCGGGGTTAATTGTAACATTATAAAATGAGAATTATGACATAAAAATGGATTTGAAAGCTTTTTATTCAGCATTGAGCTTTCAGTATAGTTTGTGTGTCTCTGTGTTACAAAGCTGAATGAAATGTGCAAATGTGCATCAGCTTCAACAATTGAACACTATTTGTGTTTGCAGGCTTCATGAGCCCACAGAGGTCAAACACTGAACTCAAACTACTTTTGACTTTCTCTTTTATAAGCTATAGCAATACTGAAATTAAATCATATAAATACAGTTTTAAATCTGCTTGGGGTTGGTGGTAACATTTCACTGATGTGACTAGCAAGTTACTAGCTTTTGTTGTTTCAACTGACCCAGCATTATGTGGCCATGAATCTGTTCTCCTACAGCTAACAGCTAAAACATTATCACCAACAATGTGGATTAAGTATATCCACAATCAGACACACAGATTACATGGGTTTAACTACAAATCAGGCAATGATATCCTAAAAATAATTAATTAGCTAATCTTAGCTGAAGTGTAGTTTTTCTGTCTAATATCTGCTGTGTCTGTCACAGGACTTTTTCATATGTGGTATGAGGACTAAAATGAGCATGTGTGAAGTGAATCAGCTGATTTGTAACTAGTTCCTTGTTGTAGAGATTGTAAGTGTTACAACTATCCCCGGTCTCTCTCTTCAAATCTAAGAGCTCTATTTTGACGGTCCATGCGCAGAGCGCAAAACGCAGGGCGCAAACGCTTTCAGGGCGTGTCAGAACGCATTTTTGCTAATTTAAAGACGAGAAAATCCGCTTTGCGCCGTGCTGCATGGTTTAAAAGGGTTGAGTTTATTTTCTTAATGAGTTATTGGTGTGTTTTGAGAATAAACCAATTAGAGTTCCATCTCCCATTCCCTTTAACAGCCAGCTGCGTCGCGCCATAAGCGCATTCGCTATTTACAGGACGCAAAAGTAAGTCTAAGTGGAAAAACTGAGCATTTTACTAGCAAACAGTTAACAGTTAACATTTTTTTAACAGAAAACTGTTCAACAGAGCATCTACTGCATGAGAAGGAGAGATAATCGCGATTAATTGCGTTTGTTAAGCGCAAATATTCGTTTCAAAACTATTTCTAAATTCAGTTCTAATTTCCAGCAAACGAATAAATGAACAATAATAACGAAGTGTGTTAGAAAACCTGAGTTATATCCTAATACACATGCTGTGCCCCATATGGTCTAAAACCTGACAGGTGGGCAAATCTAAGCTTGTTTTTAATAAAACAAATATAAATATGGATAAAATAAATAATACTGCTAATAATAATACCATTATACAAAAGCAAATTGTTATGAATGAACTGAAAAAGCCCCCCGAGATGAAGAAGACATAAAAGCAGTGATTTTTCATATTCATGTAGGCTAGAAAATAATATGTTTTGTAATATTTTAATCCTTTATATTTATATCCTATATCTATTCTTATTATATCCTATATCCTTATTGTTTATTTTTTTTCATATGTAAAGATATTTGCCTATTGCTCTCTTGTGCGTATTAAGCAGTGTGTAAGCGAGGCGCCGGAGTTTAGACCGGGTTTGTTTTGGTCTAATTAAAAATCTATTTTAGTTTCGCAAAATAGCAACGCGCCAGCAATGCGCCTGAGAACGCCTTCCTTTTTAGACCAGAACGCCTATGGATGCACATATGAGCGCAAATGCATTTGTTATTTAAACAGCGAAGCGCAACGCCTCAAAACCACTCTTGCGCCAAGCTGAAACTAGCAACAGACTATTGCGCCGCGCCTTGCACCACATTGCGCCGGGTGTATGATAGGGCCCTAAACATTAACTTGTATTTGAAATATAACGTTCACAATTACAATTTAAATTAGAGATTAGATCTGCTTACAGCAGTACAGGGAACATCCAATGCTGATCATATCTGTGTTATCATACGCATCAAAGGGTAAAAGGGCGTTCATATATATTTTTAATTATTATTCTGTGATTCCTCCGTGCACCACTAGAAGAAAGTCTGCATACCACACTTTAAGAACCACTGGTATAGATAGATAGTTAGGCCTTGTCTGTGTCAGGTTTTTCCTTTTTCAGCTAATGCAGGGCAGGCAGAAGAGGGAGACTCACAAGAGCATCGGTGGACATTTATCTAGAAAATGCTGGAGAACAGCAGGTAGGGCTCTGTCAGTACTGTCTATGGGTGCGTTCCAAATCACATACTTGTACACTATTCTATGCCATTTTGTAGTGTAAATGGTGTAAGTAGTGTGTTCACACTGAAATATTCTTTTTTTTTTGGCTTTTTTGCCTTTATTAGATAGGACAGTAATGGGACAGGAAACGAAGTGGGAGAGAGAGAAGGGTGTAGGGTTGGGAAATGTCTTCGAGCTGGGATTCGAACTCCGGACGACCTATTGTGCTACTGCACCATATGTCAGCGCATTGACCACAAGGCTATTGCGCTGACAATATTCTTTTATTTCAAAAAAGATTAAGTTCACTTTAAATTCCTGAATGATGCACTTATTTAACCGTTTAAAAGAAGTGTGGACTGTGCACTTGGGGCTGTCTTTGTTTGTTTGCAGATTGGAGTGGAGCAGAAGAAGGAGACTCACAAGCGGAATGGTGGAGATATACTGCAAGACCTGGAGCTCAGGAAGCAGGTAGAACTGCTTGAACAGACTGAAAATTGGAGTTTGCTTTCAAAGAAATCCATTGAGATAAAATAACGACCTGATATCTTTCTCTTTGACAGGTTGGCATGGAGCATGTGGAGGAACAGGGAAACGCACCTTAGTAATGACAAGTGCATCGTAATAAATTAGATACAGCCTTAAATTTTTTAGGTTGAATCAAATTAACTTTATAAAACATTTAAAATCATATACTTTCATTTGTACATACTAGGTGATGGTCTGGAATCTCTTTAAGTCAGATAAATGTCTTGTCTGCGGCAGGTGTTTCTTTTTCCTGTAATGGACACACAACAGACAGAAGAAGGAGACTCACAAGAGCATCTGTGGAAATTTGTCTGAAAACCGCTGGTTAACAGTTTATGCATTTCTGGAGTTCAGCAAGCATGTAGAGCTCTGTTAGTTGTGTCTTTATCTTTTCCAGGCTGGAGTGCAGCATGTGGAGACAAATAGGAATCACACACCTCAGCAATGGACACTGATGGTCAGGAATATCCTTTAAAGGCAGATGAATGGGTGCATGGATGGATGTTCTTCCAAGTGGAAGGGGGTGGTGGTGGGCATAGATTGTTAGATATATGTATTGTCTGTGGCTATTATTTACAACTACAAAAGGCAGAAGAGTCAGACTCACAAGCAAAATGGTTAATACTTATCTTAGGAACACTGAAGAACGTTTGGTTTATTGATGCAGATCATCCAGCAAGTAGAGCTTTGTTAGTCTTGTTTTTGTCTTTTGCAGATTAGACTGGGGCCTGTGGAGAAATGGGACTCGCACCTCAGCATGACTGGAAACTGATGGTCTGGGCTGCGTTTCCCAAACAACGAAGTAACTCACGGCTAAACTATAAAAGTCTGATGCATCGTTTGAGAAAAGAATGATGTAGTGACGAGTGTTTCCCAAAACCTGTAGTTTCTCTGTCGCAGCTCCATCGCTTAAACCAGGTTAGTTATAATTATGATAAAATGCCCGTAATGATGCTCTAAACTACGTCTTTAGAGAAAAGAAACTTAATTTCTTTGTGCAAATTATACACGCACACGCATTTAAAATAGAATTCAATATTAGATTTAGTAAAAATATGCACTCGCTTTCTATAATAACTGAAATATATGTAAATGACACAAACAGGGCTAATGTTTGCTTTACTAATATTATTGAGAAGTTGAACATTACACATTCTATTCTAAAACATATCACTTACAAAAGCTAACACGTATTCTAATATCATATAAATCATAAAAATAAATAAATAATAAAGGCTATTTATTATAAAATGAAATGTAATATTTATTATTTATTAGAAATGAAAAAATGATACTTTAATAATAATATTAATGATGATGATGGTGATGATGATTCTTATTATTATTAAGAAGGATATTTATTTATTTATTATTATTATTTTTTTAAATCTATTTTTACAATTTAACACATGTAAACCACTTTAGAAAGTTCTAACTGGCAGGCCCATGTCATATACAGTACAGATACTTAATAAATGACCCAATATAAATGAAAAGAATTACCGTATGCTTTTTGTTTTCACAAGCTTTGGAGACGTAACATAAATTCCACTTTTAAATAATAGGTCACCTATAGTTTTTGCCATGAGGCTGTGTTCAAAATGACATCAATGTTTTCAAAGTGCACTGCGAAGGGAGCACAGTTGTAAACTGAAAGATCTGTAAGATCACGAAAACTGAACTGTAAAAATAGTTTGAATGCAAATTACACCTAAGAGAGATGACTTTAATGTTTTTTTTTTATTTTTTAATAATTGCAACTTTGAATGTTAAAATGTTCTAAATTAATAGGGCATAGGGGGATAACTGAGAATAGAACACAGTCAGGAACAATGTTTCTAACTACAGCTCCAGATAGTTGGAAAGATGTCTTCTTTGTGGCAGCAAAAGTATCTTAAATCAATCAAATGTAAAGACACAACTGGAATGATTTAATTATGTTAATTATTTAGAGAAAAAAGTATTATTATAATACAAATATTAAATAATAATAATAGTTTTATTTATAATATAATTCAAATTTTAATTTAAAATATTCAGTATAGCTATTTATATATGGGTAAATAAATGTTTTTTTTTGGGTGGGGTGCAGTTGAGGGGGGCTCGTGGCCCAGTAGAGCTTTACCCCTGAGACTAACAAGGGGAACAGTGGAGATAAACTGGAAGACCTGGAGCTCGGCAAAGAGGTAGAACTGCTTGAACAGACTGAAAAATGGAGTTAGTTTCCAAAGAAATTTATTGAGATTAATTATAGACCTGATATCTTTCTCTTTGGCAGATTTGTACGGAGCATGTGGAAGAACAGGGAAACACACCTCAGTAATCACAAGTGCATCATAATAAATTAGGTACAGCCTTACATTTTTAAGTTGAATCAAATTAACTTCATCAAACATTTTAATTTACATATTTATATTTTCACAGAGTGATAGTCGGGTATTTTCTTTGGATGGACGGACGGACGAACGGATAGATAGTATTGAACAAGCAGGTAGAGCTCTGTTGATGTTTTCTTTGTCTTTTACAGAGTGGAGTAGAGAATTTAGGGAATCACATCTCAGCAATAATAAGAAACTGCTGGTCAGGTATCACCTATCACCGAAAGATGTTCAAGAGGAAGGGGGGCGGTGGTGGGCTTGAGCTGGGGTCAGACTATAGGAGTTTTAAAAACCTAACCGATAATGAAATCTGGTTGCTGTGAACACATGAGGAGAATCTTTGGCGAGTTTATTAGCCCACCTCAAATCTTAAATGTGTGCAAAGTACAAAATATGAAAACTGCGCCACAGCACACAAGATATTAAGGTTATCCTGACCGATGGAGCACATCATTCTCTTTGTCAAAAATTACTATTTATTATTTTACTAATATTAGATTATTAAATTATGCGGTGGTTCGGTTCTGGGTTTTTCGGGGTCGACTGCTATTCTCGACTCCTAATTTTGGAGTCAGTAGAATCGACTCAAGAATCGACACCTTTTACATTCACTTAAAATAGCGCAAGGATTAAACATGCTGTATCATATCGTTCTTTATACAAGCAGTTCTCCTGTGGTCAGACAAAATCAGCATTTTAAATCATCTGCAGTCAAAATAAAATAATAATCAGCCTATACTTTTTTTTAATTTAGAAAATTACATTGCGACCTTCGAGACAAAAAGTTAAAACCTCAATTTATTATCAAAATATTTAATGAAAAGATGTGTAGCAGCAGTTCAATAACAAATTAAAAAACACCCCAGTTGAGCCCAAACAACGCTTAAATAAAAATCATGAAATACCCTTAATATCTTCTTAATATAAATGTTTGATACATGAATACAGAGTATGAGTGAACAAAATAATCTGGAGTAGTGAACAGTCTGAGGTTGTTTAGTACTACATTTGTTTTAAAGGCAACAGATGCTCTAACTCAGGGGTGTCCAAACTCGGTCCTGGAGGGCCGGTGTCCTGCAGATTTTAGCTCCAACTTGCCTCAACACACCTGCAAAGATGTTTCTAGAAAGCCTGGTAAGAGCTTGATTAGCTAGCCCAGGTGTGTCTGATTGGGGTTGGAACTAAACTTTGGAGGACACTGCCCCTCCAGGACCGAGCTTGGACATGCCTGCTCTAACTGATCAATAAACAATATAGCTAGATTTCAATTTGATTTAATGACAGATTAAATATTAACCCCCTACACAAAATTCATAACAAACCTAAAATAATAAATAAAATCAGCTGTGCCTCAAAACATATCATATTGCTCTCTCTTGTAAATTAGATTTTTTTTATGTGTTCTTTTAAACAGCCTGTTACTTTACTTTTAAATATCACTGTTTGTTTTGTGCAATTTGTTCATTGTAGTTAAATAAGGGTTTGTTTATGGGACAGCATAAGCCGGAAGAAAAGGAGTGAGTCAGAGCTGTTTTTGAACTTAGCCTTGTCTCTATTTGTATTTAAAAATCCTCTTTTCGAAATGAATTTTGTTTGTTATCAATTGTATTTTAATTTTAATGTATTTAATTTGTAGTTATTTACAAAATAAACAAGAAAAATAGCCCAAATATTAGAGCTAAATTGTATTGATAACACAGCAAACTTGACATCGCAGGCAGATCATCTTTAAAACCAAATTGCACAAAGTTGTGTTTCATAGGTATTTAAAAGTGAAAGCAAACTTTGTCTGCAGCACTAAATTTATAATTGCCTTCAGAGTTCATCGTGCTCGAGAATGAGCATTATAACTGCAGCTTAAAACAGCTTCATTCAGGAGGATTTGAAAAAAACAGACTCAACTCTCATATTCCTGTCCTGAAGTCGATTCCAGTACTAGGTTCATTGAGAGTCGAGGAGTCGACTCCCCGTCCCTAATGCCCAGACAAATGTCTAATAATAATAATAGACTTATAATCTCTCCATCATGCCACGATGTGCTGTGCTTTCTTGCTCAAAAGCTAAATTGTTACCTGTTGCACTGCCTATATTGTGTGTAAAAATAATCTGTTATAGCATATAGAGCTACTCTATGTCGGTTTACGGCACTAGACACAGGCCTAAGGATTTTTTTATACTGTACAGAGCACTAATCTGTCCCCTATCCTAAACACAGCACTCACAGAAAAGATATATCTGTGATTTCTAAAAGCACATTTTAATGTTGAAGCTTTTTGTTTTTTGGAGATAACTGGCAATTTAGTAGGCATAGCTACCCAGCTACATCTGGCTCATAAATATTCACACACAGAATAACATTAGTGGCCAATTAAAACTGATCATTTAAGCTTATTATAAATGAATTATATTTATTTATTTTATTAAAGTGACGTGATTCTCTTCAGCTCTTCAGTGATGCTTGGAGGTCGTTGTCACATCCACAAACTGAATAACTCACTTTTTTAATTACTTATTATTAATTTAGTAATATTTGACCAACTGCCACTACAGGAAAACACTAATATCCTGCACTCGAAATAGGCTACACTACGTCTCAGTTTGCGTAGCTGTTCATGCAGTTAGCCTGTAAAATTAAATTAACACACGCAAGTTGAGCCGCAAGTGTCTTTTCAATTTGCTCTCACACACAAACATTCATTTCATAAATGCGTATTATATATGGCTAATAATATTTGGCAATTGGGATGTTTATAAGGGTCTGACATGCAGGCAGTGGACAGCAGAATGAAGAAATGTTGATTTGATATGTCTAAACGAATGTCCAATTATAATTATATCAATTATTCACACACATACACTATGGCCAATTTAGTTAATTCAGTTCACCTATATCGCATGTCTTTGGACTGTGGGGGAAACCAGAGCACCCAGGGGAAAACCACGCGAACATGGGGAGATCATGCAAACTCTACATAGAAATGCCAACTGACCCAGCTGGGACTCAATCCAGCAACCTTCTTGCTGTAAAGCGACAGTGCTAACCACTGAGCCACCCTGTCACAGTGATATTACTATTTATGACAATAATTGAAATCTCTCCATCTCTTGCTGCGATGGCTGTGCTGTGTTTGACTGGCAATAGCTCGGCTTTTGATTGCTAGAGCCTCTTTAAAAATGAAATTGTACCTGTCACGCATTTAATAAGCCCAGTAGTGTAGAAAAATAAAATAATTCACTCAGTGCAACACCCCTGATCTTCAGTTATCACTTACTGTCAAATTATTCTCATAGATTAAAATATTGTTTACTGGACTAGGCTATATAGAAGTTGACCTAATGATTTTATAGGCTTTTGAACTCATTCTATCCTCATCACAGAAAAATAAATAAATAAATGTATAAAAACACAGTTTAGTTTTTCTCAGTCTCTTTGGTGCATTTCTCACAACATTATTTACATTTGCACAACAGTTAATGCATTTCTCAAAACAATTAACACAAACTGCAAAACCTAGTTGATAACCTGAAAAAGTGAATCACTTACTCAAAATGGATAGCTCATTCCTCAAAAGCAAGTATTGATGTCAATGAGAGTGTCAGTGTCATCAAGAGGAAAAGTCCTGACACCATTGTTTATTCACAAGATAGTCAAGTGGCTTTGTCATGTTTTCATTATGACAGTTTGCTCTATTTTTTTCAATATAATAAAGTCAGATTTTGGTGACACTTTCTGAAAATGCTCAAGACAGCACTATATACTATTTGCTCAGCCATTTGAAAACTACAGTAAAGTTAGACATCACTGCATTTAGTGAGGAATCTGATTACAAGACACTGAATATGTATGTTTCACATTTTTACTGCAGATGCTCTTTGCGATTCTAATTTATTCACAGCATTGGGCAAAAGAATAAATACACTCTTATTTACAACAAACATAAACTCCCTTTGGGCAGAGCTGTGCACAACTGTAAACAATATGTGCTGTGCACAACTTTCAAACATTAAGTACATATTGCAACTGAACCTACAACATACACACGTCTGTAAATCATTCATGAAATTGTTCAATTTAGAAGACATTTTCTGGAAAATAAAGATGTAAAAGTTTTAATAAAATTTTCTTGTCAGATTTCGACAACTAGTTCAACATTTTTGTATGTAATGACTCAAGTAATGAAATGAGGACTATTAGTTTTTAAATGGAATGACTTTTCAGCATTCACAAGTTTAGTTTATTTTGACTGACATGACATAAGCCAATAATAATTTTATAAACAGCAGAGAGTTGTATGAAAGCAATTGATACATGTCCAAAAGTATTCGCAATTTGTTGAAAGGAATGAGAAACTGCTACTATGATGTGCACAAATGACTAATAGTTTTGAGAAATGCATTAACTGTTGTGCAAATGTAAATAGTGTTGTGAGAAATGCACCAAAGCCACTGAGAAAAACTGTAATATGTTGAATCATTTTGGGTTTTGGAGATAACTGGCAACGTTCTAGTGCCCGGCTACACATGTGTCATCAATATCTGCACACCGCTATAAGAATAACGTTAAATCTGGCTTATAATAAAAGGTGATTGAAGCTTATTCAAAAAACGATATATTTATTTATTTATTGAAAGCAACATGATTCTCTCCAGCTCATGGCTTTGTTAATACTGAATAGGTTTGAACTGCTGTGATCAGCCCGATTTCAAATCCTGGATTTCAATCATGTCTTATGATCAGGGAGGCTGCGATTTGTGTTCAAGATGGCGACGTGCAAGATTCTATCTTTAAACGGCACACATTACCAGATAATCTGCACTGAGAATTGGAACCGATCAAAATCCTCTACAAGATTTCATCTCCGATTCTCGGGAGGTCAAAATGAATTGGACTAAAACTTCTGTAGTCTGAGCTCAGCTTTAGATAGATAGATGTATTCTCTGCGGCAGGCGTTTCTTTTTCAGGTAATGGACACACAACAGACAGAAGAAGGAAACTCACAAGAGCAACAGTGGAGATTTGTCTAGGAGCGCTGGAGAACATTTAGTGCACTGCAGGAGTTCAGCAAGCATGTAGAGCTCTGTTAGTCCTGTCTTTGTCTTTTACAGTCTGGAGTGCAGCTTGTGGAGAAATATAGGAATCACACACCTCAGCAATGACTGGACACTGATGGTCAGGAGTGTCCTTTAAAAACAGGTGGATAGGTGCATGGCATGAATGTCCTTCCAAGAGGAAGAGGGTAGTGGTAGACATGGATTGTTAGCTAGATGTCTTCTCTGTGGCTGTTATTTATTGTAGGTAATGGACATACAGCAGGGAGAAGAGAGAGACTCACAAGAGCATCAGTGGAGATTTTTTTTTTAATTGGCGGAGAACAGCATGTGCATTGCAGGAGCTCAGCCATCAGTTAGGGCTCTGTTGGTGCTGTCTTAGTCTTTTGCAGACTGGAGTGAAGCAGAAAGAAGAGAGTCACAAGGGAACAGAGGAGATATGTCTGAAGAGCACTGGAGAAAACTTTGTTTATTGCTGAAGATCGGCAGCATGTAGAGTTTTGTTAGTCTTTTTTTTTTTGTCTTGTATGTCAGATTACACTGGGGCATGTGGAGAAACGGGACTCACACCTCAGCAATGACTAGAAACTGATAGTCTGGTTAGTCATTTTACTGAATAGATAGGTGGATAAATGAATGAAAATTAGATGTCCTTTCAAGAGGAAGGGGGTGGTGGTGGGCTTAGATAGTTAGCTAGATGTCTCGTCTTTGGCAGGTGTTCTAGTAATGGACACACAACAGGCAGAAGAAGGAAACTCACAAGAGCATCAGTGGAGATTTATCTGAAGAACACTGGAGATTATCTTGTGCATTTGTGAGTTCAGAAAACATGTAGAGCTCTGTTAGTCGTGTCTTTGTCTTTACAGACTGGAGTGCAGCATGTGGAGTAAAATAGGAATCACACACCTCAGCAATGACTGGACACTGATGGCTAGAGGTTAGGTGTTTCCTGAATGGATGGATGAATTAAAAATAGATGTCCTTCCAAAAGGAAGGGGGTGAAGGTGGGCATAGATTGTTAGATGTCTTCTCTGTGGCAGTTATTTAAATTGTACACTGTTAACCCTTGCTGTAGATTATGCGGTAAATAAC